AAAATGAAAACGGATTCCAAAAATGAAAATGGATTTAAACAATTGGTTTTTAAAATAAAAACAGAAACCAGAAACGAAAGTGGGTTTTAAAAATCGATTCCATAACCGAAAATGGTGTTTAAAAAAGGATTATAATAAAATAAAAATGAGTTTTCAAAATGTAAATGAATTGTAAAAATGGTTTTATAAAATGCCATGTTGTGAGCCACCTGGGTTGCCGTAATGAAGACAATTTGTCAGAGTTATCCTAGGAACCAAAGGACCATTCAGCTAGTAACCCAATTTCCACTGGGGCCTAAAAAGCTGATCAACATACTGCTAATACAGCTAATAGTAATATGGATGAAAGACAGTTTAATGAAGTTCCCATATTATCAACTGGCAGTTGCCATGGCAAATTAATTATTCCTAATATTATTAAACATTTACAGGACATAGTTAATGAGGTAATATTACCAGTGATTAAAGCCATCAATGACAAGTGGGTAACCAGCAGACAGTACTATGGAACCTAGGCGAGTGACACACAAAAACATGTTACCATTTTGTGTCTCACAGATTGTATCCCAACAATAAAATAAAGGTATACATTTGAACAAGACATAACGTGTCATAGTCCCTGTACAAAATCAACAATAGATTCAAAAATAAACTTAACACACAAAAAAGACAGTAGTGAGAAATTTTGAAATGCTTTTATTGAATTTGTTGCTCGTATTCAATGCTAAATTGCAGTAGAATACATACAGTGACCCCTTGCTAAGTCATGCCTCATAAGTCGTGGGTACATACTGTAAAACATGTTGAAAAAGCGGCATGCAATTTTAGCGAATTGTGGTAAAATGACGTAATAGCGAAATGTTGATTTAGCGAATCTCTCTTGTCATTGTTGATTTCTTTGTTTGGCGGCCATTTTGAATTGATAATAAAGTCATTAGCGACATCTTGAATTAGCAAATCAGTTCTCTCGCTAAATTCACAAAAAAAGACATGTTTTACAGTAGTTGGATGGCTCCTAAAAATTCTATTGTGTTTTGACTACAGTAAAAGAACTAATGTTTAGTTGCATCGTGTATTTAACAGCCTTCAGGAGACAACTTAGCACCTACTGTCCCGTAAATTACTGAGGTACGAAGGGTGGCGGCGACCTGACTCAAGGTATCGACGGGGCTGTCAAGTCGCGAATTTATGTACTTCTCAGCCATTCCCCCTATAAAACCTGCAACAATGAGTGAGCTTGTCTAAGACAAAGCTATCCAGTCTGTACGTACGTAAAAAACTTGCAGTGATCGACTTTGTCAAAAATGCTGAAACCAAGTCAAGCGTTGCACGTGATCTAGTAGTCGGAGTCCACTATTCGTGGATGGGTGAAAAATTAAGAAAAGCTAAGAAATTTTTTTTCAAAAATTACCAAGAGGCGGACTGAACAGAAAATGTACAAAATTATTCGACAATGATGACATTGATAAAGCTGTGACGCTGTGATGTTTCATAAACCCATGTATATGTGCTTTTTACCCTTTTTCAATGCATGAACCCCCTTTCACGAGGCCCCTTGGTGAGTCATCACCCTCGATAAGTTGCGACTTTTTTCTTGGATTCCGACACCCATGACTTAGTGAGAGGTTTAGTCACAACTAAATTGTCCCATATGAACAAAACAAGCAGCCTATCGGCTGAGATAGCTCCGCTGTTAGCAATGCACATTTCAATTAAAAAACTAAAGACATCATTAGAAAATGAACAATATATGTATAGTAGTATCAAAGCAATCGGATATACAGTTTTTAACAAGAAGTTGAAAATATCACTTTTTACCAAAAATTACAAAAATATTCACCAAAATTAGAGAATTGAAGATATCATCACAAAATGAACAAATCTGAGAGAAGTCCACATGTAGTACCTAAATATGTAATATCAAAGCAATCGGACTTACAGTTTTTAACAAGAAGTCGAAAGTATCACTTTTTACCAAAAATAACAAAATATTCACCAAAATTAGAGAATTGAAGATATCATCATGAAATAAACAAATCTGAGAAAGGTCTACATGTAGTATCTATATATGTAATATCAAAGCAATTGAACTTTTGGTTTTTAACAAGAAGTCGAAAATATCACTTTTTACCAAAAATGACAAAAATATTCACCAAAATTAGAGAATTGAAGATATCATCACGAAATGAACAAATCTGAGAGAGGTCCACATGTAGCACCTATATATGTAATATCAAAGCAATTGCACTTGCGGTTTTTAACAAGAAGTCGAAAATATCACTTTTTACCAAAAATGACAAAAATATTCACCAAAATTAGAGAATTGAAGATATCAACATGAAATGAATAAACCTAAGAGAGGTCTACCCAAGGTACATATACACCAAGTATCAAAGCATTCAGGCTTGTAGTTTTCAAGAAGAAGTCGAAAAAGTAAAACATTGACACGGACGACGACTGACAATCACTCATATGACAAGCTCCGCTCGACAAAGTCGACAGCGGAGCTAAAACATCATTTTCACAACCATTTTTGCCCCAAAATATCCCATAGTG